ATAGTGTACAGGCTCCTGCGTCAAGGTGTAATATATTGAGTTGTTTCACAATTTCACCATCATCATCATCATCATCATCATCATCATCATCATCATCATCAGTCTTATGACTGGTTGTAGTCGTAGGGATGATGCGAAGCTGAGAACATGGCCAGTTCCCGCCTCTTATCGTGGATTAAATACGGACAGGTATTCATTTATAAGTAGCGCATACTACATATTCCTGGATAAGCCTGCTATGTGTATAGTTCGATCTCTGGATTTTTTTTTTTTTTAAATCTGATTTGTGTATAATACCACCCCAGCTTCTGACCAATTCTAGTAGGCTACCATAGTCAACTATTAAAGGATAGGCATCGTCCTGGACACATTTCATAGCAAATAAATGGCCTTCATGGTTTTTAGTTAATAAATGTTCAATTAAAAAAAAAACTATTTTCTTCAGCGTATCGTAAAGAATTTCTTTCTACATAATCTTCAATTTTGTTGATTCCTATTCATAATACAGGTCGATAATCCTTTATCCGAAATTCTTGGGATCGGAAATGCTTCGTTTTTTATGCGGTCAATGAACTCGTTGCCACTTTTGTAATATCAACGAATACTCGTTGTCACTTTCGTAATGCTCGTTGTAGTAGAGACTTTGTAATCGCAGATACAACTTAACATAGTAACGCCGTTGAACAACACTGGTGTCAGAGGCCTTCGAATAGCACGCGCACTAATGGTACTTGTTCGATAATACTCGCTCGAATAGTAATCCGTATAGTGAAATAGTATAAAGAATAGCGGTCCGTATAGCAATAGAGGATAGAAAGGAATGGTGATCCGAATAGAAATAGAGGATAGACTAGAAATGACGATCCATTAGACACACACTACCTCCCATATATGCGTTTCTGCTATGGTCACGTGGTCTACTTAATTCAATCATGGGATCGCCTGTGTTTGCTCACTGGTGATCTATATTCAAACTCAAGTGTCGGCAGTGATACTTTGTTCCTCTATAACAGTTTTTTTTTTTCAGATTTTGGAGTACGGTCTATTTAATTTGTATATAGCATCTACAAAACGATCGAGATCATCATTTTTTTTTTTTTTTTTTGCTCTGTGCAGTGTTTTTCTATTATTCATTAATTTCTGTTCACCACTTTCAGCATGAAACTTTAATAATGCCTCCTCCTGTTTTCTTTGGTCGTATATGGTGGTTGGCCCAACGCCAAACTGCATAGTCAGATGCTTCACAATTACATCTCTGTTCAGTTTTAGCAACAGTTTGACTTTCTGTGATAAACATAAATGCTTTCTTTTTTCTTTTCACTACTCATTTGCGTATCTGCAGGACCTTTTGACATTTTGAATAATATCTTTACTGACCACGAAACACCAGGTAAGTAATCCACAAACGAAGGTGCTGCTGTGACTATCACTAACGAAAAAAAAAAAACTGGCGCCAACGTATACGACGTAGTTGGGCAGGGAAACCTCACTCAGTGCAGATGAGGGTCACTTAAAACAGCTGCACACCACCTAGGAACTTTCCCAGTGCTTCCTGAAATTTTTCATTTGTGGCAAGCCATGTCACCACCTTTTCGGATAAAGGATTCTTAACCTGTATCACAGTATGCCATAAATAAAGGTACTAGAATTAAAATTCACTTGTTATATCACACTGTGCAATCAACATTTATCATATATTACGGTGCATCGTGTCAAAATATTTTAAGAATATCCAACAAAGAATTATAAGATAAAATGATACCAGTAAATGTAAAGAATCTAAAAATAAAAATGGATATAAATAAACAGAGGAAGATAGAATAAGGAAAACAAATGAAACATATACTATCTGGTGAAATAAATTATTATAATGGAACCTTAAAGTGGTCTGTTTTTCTTTAAATATATATATATATATATATATATATATATATATATATATATATATATATATATATGGCAAAATGGGTCAGTTATGTGCCATGCGTTATACACGCTTAGGTGATTATGCATCTTTCGATACAAGACTGACGAGGCAGATTTTTACCAGAGTAGGTTTGCCATTTCTTTCTGCGGTAGACCAGTTGCTATCCAATCCGATCATTCCTGCTATTTTTCCATAGCTGGAGGGAGAAAAAGAGGATTCCCAAGGGTATTAGTACGTAAGTGAGACAAATGGATTCGACTGGAATTCGAACTCGGTTCTCCGATTCCTCAGTCCGAGCCGCTATCCATTGACTCTTAGATGGCAAAAGGGGTGCCGTTGGAAAAGCAATACCTCAGCGATGTAAATACGTGCGAACGAATATTAACGCAAATAGGAAAAAGAGGGGAAAAAACATTATTTTTCATTGATATAATATATTTATAGATTTTATATAATATATTTGTAGATTTTATCTAATATATTTGTAGATTTTAAGCGGCACACAGGGAATGATGTTCTGCTGTTGATGTAGCAACAGAAAGAATCTAGACTACAGAAGGTAAGGTAAAGGAGCTTGCTTCTACCGTTGGTTACGCTTACCGAAAATGCATGAATTTTAATCCTCCAGAAAAAATTGCCTATGTATGCTGTAAATTGTCATTTTAAAAAAAAAAAAAAAAAACTATGTATAGTGCGACTCCCTACTTGCGCCCAAAAATGGTCATAGAAACTCGCCCTATACTCGAGTATACTCGGTAGACGTGATAGAGCCTACCCCACCTCCAGGCCAAATCACAGCCGATGTTCTCCAACTTACTGACTAGACAGGATCCTACTTCCGGGCTTTTCTGGCGCGAACGGTGGCTAGAGATACAGCAGGATTTAAAACAAGACCTGTAAAAAGGCGGATGGATCTTCTTGTAGGGTCAATAACCATCTAACATAGTCATCGGGAAATTGCTGCCTGCGGGCTATATCCGGCCCGAATGGCTTTCTGAATACCACGCCTAATTTCATGAGGAAAATAACGTTTAATAAAATGTTGTTTATTTCGTTTTATCCTCACTTGTTCGCTCACACATTCTCTCATGCATAGCCACATAACATAAACAATGATTAAAGACAATGTTTCTTGAATTTTGTAACTTTTCGTTGAAGGTAACGTTGTCAGCATATCTAAAAAAATGCCTTTACCATAAAAATACAAAATGATGTACACAATAGCTGTCGGGGAAATCATAAAATTACGGACAAAATATTTAGATTTTGGCATTAAATAACCCATAAATGTTGATATACTGCCAAACAAAACTAACTGATTAAAATAATATTGTGAATTTTTTTTTCGCGATGCCAGTAAAGTGAAATACGCCACAGTTTTTTTTATAATCAAATATACAGACCATAGTCTGAAACTGCGACTATTCAATAAACTTGTAAGAATAATACCGAAATACATACATGCAAGGGGCTGTCGATTCATTTATCGAGTATGACCATGAATGACGAGTATGATCCATGATTTTAATTCTTGTTTGAAGGACAATGGCGCTTGAAGCAAGTTTTTAATCATTTCACTCCCAAGCAAGGCGATAAAAAACCCCACTAAGATGCAAGTGAGTCAAAGAAACATAAAAAGTACAAGAAAAGAATAGGATTCAAGGAGACAGAAGACGACGAATGATATTACGTTTAAAGTTTTGAAGATCAGATTTGACAGGAAAGCAAGAAGCCAGAAGAGAATGTTCCAGAATCGAGACGTGCGATATTATCATAGAACTGGCGGTTGCAATTACTTTCCAATATAGTCTGCGTTGAAATACGTGGAATGTAGTTATCAAAGTAGAAAGTTCATCAGAACAATGTTCGTGAGAATATTTATAGAAAAAGACAAAGGGAAACTACTTTACGGTGGTAGGGAAAAGCGACTGAAGCCAAGATGCCAGGTCGGTAGCGTTGCAAATTCTTCTTTGAGTTTTGTAAAGAATTTCTCAATATATAGCAAAAGCACCAGGTCAGTTGCGATAGCAATATCCAATGCTCGGATAAATGGTAGATTTATAAACGTGCAAGATGGATTCAGGTGAAAAAAATTGTCTGACACGACACAGCGAATCAACTTTCCTAGCAGCAGACCTAGCAATTGATTCATTATAATCATACCACTTCATGTTTGAGGAAAACATTAGGACAAGATGGCGCAACGAGCTGTTCTCCCGGAGAATGGTTGGAAGGCAAAAAGAGGTTCTTTAAAATAATTCATATAGAGCAGTTACGTTTCGGGGATGTTTCTTGGCCGATTTAACAAACAGATTGAAAATTATTTTCAAGATCACCTGCCAAATTTACAATTAAAACTGGTGAATAGTTGTGCCATCAGCTAGATGCCGACTCGGGAATCGATGAAATCGGTGAGTTCGTTGATGAACATTAGAAACAAAGTAAGTCTAAGAATAGAGCCCTAGGGATGACCCGCATTAACCCTAAAAAAGATATAGAAGATTATTTCATTAGGCGGTTTAATGAGAAAGATTGAATCAAAAAAAAAAGAACCAGTAAAACCCTAACCTTTCAAATTGTAAAGACCAGCATGCCAAACCCTAACAAAAGCCTTCGAGATCTGCAAGGCAACAGACCGAGCTTCGCGAATCTTATCTAAAGCTTTTCGGAATTAAATAACCCATAGCGGTTGATATGCTATTAAAGAAAATCAATAAAATTTATCTAAAGCTTGATTGGCACTTTTATCAGCAACCATCAAGACATCGGTTGTTGACCTAGAGAAGCGAAAGCCATATTGTTTGTCTAATAGAAGAACCTGCGAAGTGAAATTCTTAACCAGTTCAGAATTGATTAGAGCCTCACGTACTTTGCAAACGAGAGATAAAACACTAAGTTGATAGATCGAATGATCAAATGTTTCTCCAGATTTCTTAAAACCAAGAACGACGGAAGAGGATTACTAACAATCCGGAAAGCAAGAAGCAGCATGACATTTATCTTACTGAGTGTTAGTGAATTTGAGAAAAATAATATTAAGGACAATAGAAGAACAAGAATTAAGAAGACGGAAGATAATGATTAACATTGCATTTAAAAATATACATAAAGTAAATCCTAAAATCTTGGAGAGAGCAGGAACCAGATCGGGGGTGGGGGGTTCTTAAGGATAATTGTGAGAATACCATAGAGTCCACCTGATTTCTTGGGTTCAAATTTGAAGATGATCGCGGAAACCATGGACAGTGTTATATGCATATCACGCAGTCGCGACTTAGTGGAAAGTCAGGCAACGGTACTCCTGATAAGTTGAGAGCGGAATTTAAAAATATTTTACAAGCAAATGATAACACTGCAAATTGACTGAAAAGAGGAGCAATTTATGACTCACCCTTAATTAGTAGCCTCTTACAGAATCTCCATTATTCACGAGAATCGCCATTGTATCCATTTAACGTTTCACAGAGAACCCATGATGCCTTTGGTTTTCATTTCTCTTATTCAATTTAATAAAGAAAATTCAGAATATCACTTAAATTTGAAGGAATGAAATCTATATAAAATTCTGTGAGTTCCGTTAGTCCGTTCGTCACACCTTCTAAAACAGACATACATTTACCGATCGAAACCGAATTTTGGGGAGAAGTGCAAACAGGTAAGAGTTACAAGGTACAGTTGGTTTTACTGGGGTACGTAGGTTAGTACAATAAATTTTCATTAATTATTTTGGAAAAGTTAAAAGTTTTCTTATTTAACATAAAAATTACCCCCAATATTTTAAAAACAATTCGAAGATTAACATAACAAATACTTATTTAATAAAAATGTAATATTGTTTTTTGCATATCTAAGTTTTTATATATACAAGAATCCAGTTTCCAGTTCACCTTGCGTTTGCGAGAACTAGAAACAAATCACAAGGCAAAACGTTTCAAAAATTTGGAAATTGGCTCCAGAAAGAAATATTTACGTATGGCCAGTTGTATGTTGCATGCTCAAGAGTAAGAAATTATAAGAATTTATTCTTTGCTGTTAAAAAAAGAAAAAAAGAAATTTTCTTAAAAAATATTGTTTACCATGAAGTCATATAAAATTAGACTCAATTGAAGAAATTATTAAACCGCGAAGTAAGCTTTTGTGAAAGTATTTTTCCAAACAAATCAACTTATTCAAATTTCATCGACTGGTTTGCAAAATTGAACGAAATGTAGTGATTTTAAATCAAGGCAAAAAATGTTACTGATAAATTTAACAATAATAAATACTGTGTGAATATCAAAACAATTGCCCCCAAATTCTAGTTTGTAAAAACACCAAGAAAAAGGGGTTCTGTATTAATCCCACAACCTAGAATTAAGTCTTGATTTATTGACACGTTTCAGATGAGGTCAGCTTTGGTGCAAGGTCATATTTCCTGAAAACTTGAACAGAATCGATCTCAACTTCTTCATTGGATTATGTGATTAGCTCATTAACCACAACTTCTATTTGTCTTCAACGAACTGCAACTTTTTGTTCGATTTTATCTTTAAGACAAAGTGGCTGAGTCGATATTCGACCTATTTTTAATAACAGTCGTAAACTCCACTCAGAGCTTTCAAAAACCGGGTAACATCAGGCGCCTTTTTCGTTCCTTAATTTTACTTAACTTTGACAGAAATCATTCACGATTCATCAATCAAAATTCCCTAAACATCGAACGGTGGTCTGCCCGATATATTAACACCGGTAGAAGAAAATGAAACATAAATATGCAAAAGGAAAACCGACCATTCGATCGAAATTGTGTAATATGTTTAATACAATTACTTTTGTTATATTTACAACGATTTTTGAAACCTGATCATGCCTCATAATCTCTAGTCTTATAGTATAACGGTACAGCTATACCAGCATCGTATCATATAATGTCTGTGCTACGACAGAATGTGGTCTGATTCGAAATGGAACTCTGAAATCGTATTATATAACAATTCTGTTGCATTTGAATGTGGACTGATTCGAAATGGAACCCTGAAATCGTATTATATAATGACTCTGTTACATTTAAATGTGGTCTGTTTCGAAATGGAATCCTGCAATCTGAAATCGTCCCTGCTACGATTCAATGTGATTCGGTTCGAAATGGAAACCCATAATCTGAAATCGTATCATATAACGTCTCAGTTATATTTGAATATGGTTCGATTCGAAATGGAACACCATATGAAATTATATAATATAACGTCTTGGCTTCGACTGAAATTGGTTTGATTCGAAATGCAACCCACATTCTGATATCATATATTACATCTCGGTTATGATTGAAAGTGGTTTGATTCGAAATGGAATCGCCTTATCTAAAATAATATAACGTCTCGACTACGATAGGAAATGTTTTGATTGAAAATGGAACCTCAGTCTTTTAAACGAGAAAATTCATTGCTCTAATCACTGGCAACATTCGCTTGTAGATTTCTTTTTGTCTTTCTAATAGAGGAAAGGGCCTTGTGTGTGTGTTTTGTGTGTGTGTATATTTTGTGTGTGTGTGTGTGTGTGTATTTGTGCGTGCGTTTGCATCACCCTCCTTTCACTCTCTTTCACTTCAACGCAATTACTTGAGGGACGAAGCAAGGTAAGATGAAACACGTTCGTTGTCGGTGGGTGGGCGCGACGAAAACTGCAAGGATGCTTTGTGGGGAGCGCATGTTCTTGTGTCTTTTGTTTTGTCATTCTGCATTCTCCACTTGACACGTGACACTTGCGCCTGGGGCTAGAAATACGGGAAGCACGAGGCATTGAAGCAGATAGGGCGGCTGATGGAAAGCGCAAAAGAAGGAGAGACGGAATGGAGTTCGGTTAGGGATGGTGAATACTGACAAAGGGAGATAGATAGATGAAGAGTCAGGCGTGATAGTGAGCGAAGAATATGAAGACAATTTGCAAAACAAGTAAGAAGTGGAAAAGAAAGGGTACAAGAAAAAAGAAAGGAAGGAAAAGAAAGGAAGGAAAAGAAAGGAAGGAAAAGAAGGAAGGAAATAAACAAAGCCAAACAGAAAGAAGAAATCAAAGAACGGATAAAGAAAGATAAAAACAAAAAAAGAAATAAAGAATGAAAGAAAAACAAAAAGATTTAAAAAGAAAGAAAGAAAGAAAGAAAGAAAGAAAGAAAGAATGAAAAACATAAAAAGATAAAGGGATATGATAGGGATGGGAAAATGAAATCAAAGAAAAAAACGACAAAGAAACAAACAAAAACAACCAAACATACAAAAGAACGAATGAAAGAAAGAGAGAGAGTGAAAGAAAGAAAGAAAGAGAGAGAGTGAAAGAAAGAAAGAAAGAAAGAAAGAAAGAAAGAAAGAAAGAAAGACAGAGAGAATGAAAGAAAGAGAGAAAGGAACAAAGAGAGAAAAAAACAAGCAAACAAAGAGTGAAAAACACAAAAAAGATTAAAGAATATGATAGAGATGGGAAAATGAAATCAAAGACACAACGAAAAAGAAACAAAAACAACCAAACATACAAAAGAATGGATGAAAGAAAGAAAGAAAGAAAGAAAGAAAGAAAGAAAGAAAGAAAGAATTAGAAACACAAAAAGATAAAGGAATATGATAGAGATAGGAAAATGAAATAAAAGAAACAAACAAAAAGAAACAAACAAAAAGAAACAAACAAAACAACCAAACATACACGAGAAAGAAAGAATGAATGAATGAAAAGTAGGAAGGAAAAAAGAAAGAAAGAAAGAAAGAAAGAGGGGCAAGTTGATTTGCAAAAGGAAGAAAAAATATAAAAGAGAGGGTTGTGAAAAAGAAATGAAAATGGTGAAAGATAGCAAGTGACGTCGTCAAAATGTTACAAAGATTACAACTAGATGAACAAAACGAGTGGAATATGTCATTGGTGAAGCAAGAGGAATAAAATATCGAGAGAGAGAGAGAGAGAGAGAGAGAGAGGAGAGAGAAAGAGAGATGAGGGATAACCAAGAGAAAAGGTCGACGAAAAGACAGAATCTCAAACAAGAAAGAAAATGATGCAAAAATAATATCACCGAAAAAGAAGTCCGGATTTTTTTCCCTTTTTTTTTTTTTTTTTTTTTTTTTTTTTTTTTTGAACCGTGAGATTCACTGACACCGTTGAGAGGAAATAGAAAAGGTGGGTAAGGATGTGGGGGAAACAATTTGATAGAAGGCAAAGAATTGGAGGAGAGTATTGACTGGGGAGTGGAGGGCTCGTCGAAGTGTCGTAAGGCAAGCTGTACCGTTGTTCCGGCGACATCAGCACATGCGCCAGCTGCGACAACACATGCCACAATTTGTGAGAGGGCCAACCGAGATAGGATTTAGGTGCGGTTCGGTGAGACACTGATATGGCGGACCGCGCTCAATCAACTACAGTTTTCTGTTTGCGAAACAGCTCCATCTGGTGTCTGCTTTATACAAATAAAAAGTACAAATGAATGAATGCATTAAAATAAATAGAATATGAGAAAAAAATAAATAAATAAAAAACAGCGAAAAACAAATAAATGAAGAAAAAAAAATGAATTAGCGTCCAACCACTTGTATCGAGCAACTGAAGACAAAGAAAAAAATGTTAATAATCCGAGGTTGAAGAAAATCAACCAGCTTGTCTTCTTTTATCAACCTTGCACGCGTTTGTTTACCGATATGAAAATTTACCAGATTAAAATAGAATAGAGAAAATGTGAGACATGCATGTATAGGATGCCTCACAAAAAAAAAAAAAAAAAAATTAAAAAAATAAAAATATAAATAAACAGGAAATTTTAGATTTGCTATATGATAAAAAAAATTAACTAGCATAAAAAAAATTAACGATATATTTTGTTATATGAACGCGGAAGCAGGAAGCACAGTGGAGTAATGGAGAGAGGCTCGGATTGAGGAATCGGAGAGCCGAGTTCGAATTCCTGTCAAATCCATTACATTCATATACGTGCTAATACTATTGGGAAAGGTATGAATCCTCTTCTTCTAACTATGCGTGAATATCCGGACAGACCGGGTTCTATAGCTTTGGATGGCAGCTGGTCTAACGCAGGAAGAAATGGCAACCGACTGCGGGGAAAAAACTCTACTTCGTCGGTCATGTGTCGAAAGATACATGATCACCTAAGTGTGTATCACGCATGACACATAACTGACTCGTAAGAATTAACTAACATATCATTTTTTTAATCATTTGTTGTTCTAGGATGCCGCGGTTATCAAATTTTCAACGCAAAGTTATTGTTCTATTTAAGAAAGAAAATCCAAGTTGGGGACTGAAAAAATGCCAAGAAATTTTGCCAGAGTTCTTTAGCTTGAACTCCACATCTAACATTTGTGTTATTGTTCTGTTTTAAGCTATTAAATTTCTATCCCTTGCTTTTGTTTCAAATAACTGTAAGAAAAATTCCAAAAGTGAAATAAACTATACCAAATTTCTGTTTTTGTGTTGGGGGAGGGGGACCTGTAGTTTCAATACAATCGGATTAGTGTTTAGAATGTTGTAAATATAAAATTATTCTTGCAATAATCAGGTACTCGGCCGACTACTTGATGATTGCATAAAAACGCATGTAACTTTTAGTCGTGGTCGGTCACTGTTCACCGGGAATTTATTTAGAAATATATCTATCCAAACAAATTTACTATAAAAATGAACTAAAAAATGAACTAACTTAACCATTTGTTGTTCCTGGATGCCGCAGTTATTAAATTTTAAAGTGTGGTAATTGTTCTCTTTAAGAAATAACATCCAACTTGGGCGACTGAAAGAAAATGCCAAGAAATTTGGCCAAAGTTCTTTACCATATCTAACATTTGTTTTTGTTCCGTTTTAAGTGACTAAATTTCTATCCTTTCCTTTTCTTTTAAATAACTGTAACAAAAAATTCCAGCAATTAGATAAACTTCCTTTATTTTTGTGAAGCGTACATGTACTTCTGATTAGTTCTGGATAGGCAATACTAAAGCGACGAAACCACTTGCGTCGGATTCATAGAGATTTATGCCTATGGGACTTCGTCGTGGTGTAATGGTTAGCCAGCTTGCCTCAACTTCGAGTGAATATTCAGCTCCCCCCTCACTAGGTACTCCATACTGTCGGCCTTGTGCCACATGTAACCTACGCTTAGTAAAGTATCAAAGATATAGTGATTTACTAAGCGTAGATAGGAGTGGTACCACGCTGAAAGTATGGTGCAACCAGTGTGGATCGAACTCACTACTCAGCCGTAATTGATCTAGCGAAACAAGCTTGCGAAACATTACACGAAGTTGAAATGCCCAGAACGCCATATAGAGCGATTTACTAAGCGTTTCTAAGGTTTGGCACAAGGATGAAAGTTTGGAGCACCCAATTAGGATCGAACTCACCATTCAATCATAAATCATTTTGCGAATAAAGCTTGCTAACAATTACACCACATCGAAGTGCCCAAAGCACCATATATAGCGATTTATTAGGCGTTGCTTAGATGTGGCACAAGGCCGAAAGTGTGGAGCACACAATTAGGATCGAACTCACTATTCAATCGTAAATAATTTAGCGATAAAAGCTTGCTAACAATTATATCATGTTGAACTTCCCAAAGTACCATGTATAGCATATGACATAGTATATGTCTTTGAACTTTTGATAATAAAGTCTAGATTTAAAAGCAAAAAAGTGTTATGGTCGTTTTGAGAAATGATCTGAACAGATAAGCATCAGCGTAGATTGTATAAAATATAGGGATGAGAGGGTGGGAAGATATAACTGCGTCGATCTTTCAAGTGGATATGACTTTCTTTCTTTTTTTTTTGGCAGTTAAAATCAACATATGAAATGTTCAGTTTTAGCTAATCCTGTGTACTTAGTGCAAGGGACAATTACAAAATCAAGTCAAACATTGTTCTTTATACTAATGTTCACCGAGTACAAAGCCCAAGAGTCACTCAATGTCGAGAGTTACTGTGTGAGCGTAAGAATAGACAAGAAGTGAGGTTCATGGCGCTATACAGGAAAGATAACGCTTAAATCTCAACTAGAAGAGGTCAATATTGGAGTGATTGGGAAAGCATCCTGCCGGTAGTTCTTGGGAAGACGCTGTCCGAATGGAACTTCCTCTTTACTAATGGAATACAAATGGAATGAGGAGGATTCACTCTTGTGTTAGTCTCTGTATGTTTTTTTTTTATCAGGATATAAGATATAAAAAGGTTTACTGGAATTTGAAGGCCTATTTACAGAACATTAACATCTATCTGCGCAATTCTACTCAAATTTAATCAAACGGACTATATTGTAAGGATACAGAAGGCGCTTATATCCCTTTGGTGAAGATAAGTCACGTGGGTCACATGAAGGTCACATAATGACGTTACTCTATACAGCGGCGAAAGCGCCGGTCATTTTTCAGTTAATTTTCAGTAGCCACCATATGAGATTGACTTCTTTTAGCCTGGGCAAAAGGGTCGAGGCTGAGATTAAATCTGCCTCCCCTGCAGCTTACAAGTCCACTGTACCGTTTCCCTTTGGAAATACATCTTTCCAGGATATAGAATAAAACTCCAGCGCGTAGCTCTCAGTTTTGGAAAGCCTGTTTCCTGTTCGTGGAATATGTCCTCGTCTTGGAGATACATGAATCCGGCACGTTTGAATCTGGAGACCTAAAAAGGGCTTCTCCGGGTACAGGAGTATCTCCATGTTATATGTAGGGCCCTTCCTTTTTGTTTCTCCTTACACTCTGCTTTGCTTTGTAGATATGTGTGATATATTATTCTCCGCATGGGACATGTGTATATATGGTCTTGTAACTGTCTTAGTAATATAAAAGACATCAGAGAAAAAAAAAGCATGTTTTTCATTCCTTTTCCCTTTCAGCCATTCCGTTCTGTCTGTGAATTACGGTGTTATTATGACAAGAATATAATAATAATGCCAATAACGAGAGAAACGTAAATAGGAGAATAAATCATTCTTCCAAGGGCTCCCGTTGCCATATGAATAATCCCACAATTGGATGTCTCGAATTAATAGCCATGTTGCGAATTTCAAATTTAAAGACGTGTTGTAAGACTGATATGATGGATAAAAAATGTTTTCATAATTTTACTGAATGCGTAAGTTGGTCCAGAATAGCAAACTACTGGCCAGAAAACCCGATGAGTCTGGAATTTTGACAGTTATGGATTGCCTTGTTTAAGTTTGGGATGTTAGACCAAAACGGCGCAAAGAAACCAAAACAGCTACTAGAAATTTAGAAATCAGTACGCCTTCCGCACCCAGATTCCTCAGTGATGCAAGGCAGCACGAAAAAAAATAAAATCCTAACCAAAGACCACGATGCGTTCTAGTGATTATCTCATCACTTTTTCTTAGAGACAATGCTAAAAAAAAAAAGCTGCCTCTCAAATAATAAATCGAGATTAGAAAATGAAACTGTCGATCGTTGATGCTGTCTATGATTTAATGTTGAAGGTCAAAAGAATTGAAGCAGCAATAGCTACAGAGTTTGAAGAATAAAAATGAACACTGGAAATTGCAATAATGGTCGGTGGATAGCACCGAATTGTGAAGAAGTTCTCTGAAGAACCCGGACAACTGACGCGGTGCCGAAAAATGTATAGTGATGGTTTTAACTTTGTACATCTCAAGAGAACGGCGATAACAAATTCATATTTGTCAAGCTCTGAAATTAGGCCTTGTGTCAGCGATGAAGTGACAAGATATCAGATCCTACATGAAGTGGAAAATCATGTGTGGCTGATCACTCGGTTTAATTTTAAAAACCTCCGTAAGGAAGTTGAATTAAATCAACAGCAGATATATATTCATTTTCTAAGCGTAGCTTAGATGTGACACATGGCCGAACGCATGGGGCACCCAGTGAGGATACTGATTTTTCAACCGTTCTTTTTTCGATAGATAGAGTTGGGAACACTAGAATCAAGCAGACGCGGAAGTTTAAATATCTGGAAAGCGTTCTGACAGAGGACGGTACATGCGACACTGAGCTCCGTAGACGTATTTGGATGGCCAAGGACACATTCCAAAAATCTGGGGAAATTATTGCGAGACAGGAAGATATCTTTAGTAACAAAGAAAAGAATATTGAACTATTACGTGATATCTGTCCTTCTTTACGACAGCGAATGTTGGACGATTTCCTCAAAGTTGATGAAGAGATTCGAGGCGAGGGTTCTACAGAAGGATGCTAAGGATATCATGGACTGAGTGTGTGAGCAACAATGAGGTCTTAGAGAGGATGTAATAAAGGAAGAGGCTTATATTTAACATCAGGAAGAGGCAGCTGAAGCTCCTGTGCCACATAATGAGGAAAGAAGACCTGGAAAATCTGATACTCACGGGTCGAATAGAGGGAAAGAGCGACAAGGAAAAACAACGTATTACATACCTAGCGGGCCTTAAGCAAGTGGATGACAGAATGTGGTCTGGGGGAGGTAGCAGAGGGAAGGAACTTGTTGACAGCTGCAAGGGATAGAGGGAGGTTGAGAGCCATGAACGCCTACGTCCTGAAAGGACACGGCACAGAAAGAAAGAAAGATATAAACTGTCTGAGATAGATATAAACTGAATGATAGATAGATAGATAGATAGATAGATAGATAGATAGATAGATAGATAGATAGATAGATAGATATGTGTATATATTTGCCTAATTGGTTCATGTTTTAAAATTGTATTGGCGTCTGAGTGTGTACGGATATATGTTTGCGCATAGATAGATAGATAGATAGATAGATAGATAGATAGATAGGTAGATAGATAGATATATGTGCGTGCGTATATATTTTCCTCATTGTTTTATATGTAAAAAATATATTGGCGACTGTGTTGTTAAGAGATACGTGTTTGTATGTGTATAAAATTCATATGCAGAGTTCTGAACACTTTTGCGACATTTTGCTTCCGTTGTACAAATAATTACGTATTCATTTGTTTTAAATGTCGTTCGCCATCAATCAAATTTCTCTGCCGTTATTATTTCTCCTTGAAACACATGCCATATTTTCTTCCTGTTCTTCCATTTTATGTTTTCTTGTTTTTCCCGCCTAAATGGAAGCCATTGTCATCTTTGTCCATTGATTTGTAAAATGATACACTGTTCTTTTCATCGCTTGACATCGCTCGTCTTAAACAAGCAGTCTCTTGTCCATGTTAGAGAATTTAGTCTTGCCGAAGCCGTTTTATATATGTATATCGTCTCTTCAAAACGCTGTCGAGCATGGCTCTCCAAAAATTCCTATATTTTGATGCTGTATGTAACTTTTAGACATTTACTATACCTATTTCTTCCTGTTGTATACACTATTCACAGAAATTCCATAATTCGGTTACTCGCTATTTTTTCCTGATTCTCTTGACTTAAATATCGCATGTGAGTATTAATTTCTCTATACGATTACGGCTCTCCATCACTTTCTTTCGTAGCTTTAATTAATTTTTAGCTTTTTAATATTCCCCTTTGTCCCGCTTTTGCGAGCCATTCAAATAAAATTATAAAAGTAGTATACTGGCTGTTTTACTTTGATTCTCTTGCTTTCAATGTATCTTGTGAGTGTCAAATTCTCTAAACCTTTTTCCTCATTATATGTCCCAGAAATTTCTACTCTTTTTGATTGCAATATAAAATTTTCTTATAGTTCCTATTATATTAGACGTCCTCGTTACTCACATGTTATGCACGTAGTTTTCAATGTATTCATCAAACCTGTCTGTCACTTCAAGACTCTTCAACATCTGTGAGGAAATTGTCCAGTATTCACTGCCATATAAAACATTAAACATTATACTGCCGTTCAGCACTTTTGCTTCTAATTACATTTTCCTATCTTTTATGACGTCGCTTACTTTCTGAAAAGCATGAGGAAATTGTATAATTGTTGATTGCCGTATAAAAGATTAGATATTACGTAGTAGTTCAGTAATTCACATGCGCCTCTAAATATATGTCACATTTTCCGTTGGCCAAGGAATTAGAATGTTCGCATTCTGACCATGAGAACCGGGTTCGAATCCAAACATAGTCGATTTGTCAGGAAGAAGACTTCCTGATGTTATCAGATTGGATGTGTTGATCCCAGTGTACGGCACCTTTGGAAAATTCCTGAAGATTATAGCACCGGTTGACCCAAGCATTGTGAGTGAAATTGAGTAGACAGAACACTTGGGGAGCCGTCGATAGTTGTGCTAGCACGAAGTCACAAGTCATCGTGGCCGAGGGCTTGAGCGTGCTGACCTTGTTCAAATTGTTGATCACGCTAGATAACACGCTCTTTCCCAGAAATTGTAACTAAGGTCTGCTCAGCACAGTTGCAGTATAAACCACAGATGTGTTCTGTGGGTGTTGAATAAACACAAATGCGTCTGAGCAAACATCTGCAATAAGGATTTACTAGCCACCCTATTAGACGGGTATCCTTAAATACGAATGGCCAACTATACTATACATATTAGTTCTGCAATTCGCACGCGCCTCTGAATTAGGTCATATTTTCCGTTGTATACTTTAACTATAGGAATTTTAATTTCCGTGGCTGCTTGATTTTGACGTCCCAACTATGTAGCTCACATCTTGAGTTGTCTCTTTTGCTCACGACCATGCAGTAGGTTTTTTACGATTAATAGTTAGTCCTTTCTTCTTGCTTTACTTCAAACTTTCCTCTAAATTGTATTTGGAAAAACAAAACACACACAGAATATCTTCGATTAATCTATTCAATATATTTTACAAGAAGTTGCTAAAAAGTTTTCAAACCGATCCATTTCTCTGAATTTGACGAAACTTATGGCTAAACGAGACGTACTGTTGCCCAACACCACAAATAGCTCCAAAACCAAAACATCAACCTGAAAACTCGAAATGTTATTAAACAGACTCATCTCATCGAGACTTTCATATGGATGCCATGTTTGGCACCAAATCCGATCGATCATCGAAGTTAAGCAACATCGAGACTGATCAATACCTAGATGGGTGATCGCTTGGTAATACCAGGTACTGTAACTTGGATGTGCAGGTAGTGTAATGGATAATGACTCGGAATTGTTAATCGAAATGAAGAGTTTCAATTCCTGTTGGGTTTGTTATATTCACTTACGCACAAACACTCTTGAGAAAGGTATGAAAGGTCCCCACCTCTTTTCCTCCCAGCTATGGCTTAATTAGCAAGACTTGTATCACTAAATCATTATCTCTAAAATAAAATCTTACAATCTAAAAATAATTTCTGGCTTTAAATAACTTGTAAAGGATTGACAAGCCGTAGGAAATAAATCAACCAATAAAAAAAAAACGTTCATATCTGAACTGCCAACTCTATACAACAGCTTCCTAAGATCAATGGCTAAAATGGTTTGAGCAAGTGTAGCCTGGGGCGTCTTGGCAAAGATCATCCTTCTGAGAATATTGAGGACTGGCGCTACATAATCATAAGGAACTGTACTAAATAACATAAACATCATTACTTGAGGAAAAGTATCAGCAGCAACAACTAAAATGAATATCACTCGTTACTCGAAGAGAAAATAATGACATAACCAAAATGTTGAAGTTCCACAGTACTTCAAACAAAAGGTTAGGAAGGAAACTCCCAACGATACTGAACTTGTAAAACCTATTTTCTTGAAGAAATGTTTTAATAGAAAAATTTCGTAAGTTTTAACCGAAAGCAGTATTTGCTGCTCGTCGAATGAATGCCAAATGTTTCCTTATAGGGAAACGGCTAATATTACTATTACCATCACCCATAGTGTGTTCTTTAATGTTTATTGATGAATTGGTATACACTTTTTCTCGCCACTGTCAAACGGAGAAAAATGGCGTGGTTTGAACACATTACAAGGCACGACAGCCTGTGCAAGACCATCATGCACCACTGAAGGTGGTCGTAGGAGAGGATGCCAACACAAAAATTATTTGGACAATGTCAAACAAGGGACAAGTATGACTATACCAGAATTGCTGATGGGTACCGTTGATAGACCGTTGTGGAAAAGAGTTAGTGTGTCTTCTGCATTCGGATCCGCCCTATGATTACAAAGTGAAGGGGATGATGATGACGATGATAATGACGATGATGATGTCACACCTCATTTTGAATTCTTCTTTTGAGAAATAGTATAGTGAACAGAGTAGAGTATCCCGGTCCGTGTAGAAATAGAGGATAGACTAGAATGGCGATCAATCTAGACGTCACGCGACTTCCTATATATGCGTTTCCTCTATGGTCACGTGTCCACTTAATTAAATAACTGGTCGCCTGTGTTTGCTCACTGGCGACCTATGTTCAAACTCAAGTGTCGGCAGCGACACTTTATTCCTATATAACATAAACTTATTGCCGAAAATTGATGGCCAAATTAAAATAATTTTGCAAAAGTAATCAAGGGTTATTATCAAAACCAATAATCGCTCTTGTTTCAGGCAAAAAGTAATTCCACTTTTTAAATCATTAAAAGTAAAAAAATGTTCAAAGATAACACGACCCCCAAAATGGTGGCAAGTAATCTACCATTTGTGAAAATGGATGACAGATATGGTGCTGTGAAGAGTAGTAAGCAAGCAAAACTTATTTACACTTACAAAGGATAAGAAGTTGTGGAGAGCCATGATCGCCCACGCCCAGAAGAGACACATAAAAGAAAATACACGTGACATTTAGTTTGAACATTACACTATGACCGTGACAATATAACATACTAACTTCCAGGAGAGGATTGTTCTCTTTGAGTTATATGTGCTATCAAATTTAGTTGTTGCTGCTTTTGAAAGTCTTCAAATGATGTAGTTTTTGTTTTCTGCACAGTTCTTCGTGATTCTGTAGCGCCAATCCACAATGTAGTCCGTTTATAAATAACGTAACTAAATAAAAATTGGTACTGATAAAGGTAATATTAACCGTTTCCACAAGGAAATCTTTCTACAAGAAAACATTCGGAATTGATTGACCGAGCAGCCAGTACTGTTATGGGTTGAAATTTATAAAAACTTTCTCTTAAAACAATTTTTCATTTTAAAAGAATAAGTCGAAGTTGTTTTTTTTTTAAAATTTATTTTAGACATTATAATATATATGATACAATATTGTTCAAAGTACGGATTCCTTTCCAACCATCTTGTATTACTTGTAATCTTTTCTTTCGTATTTTAGCAACTAAATATGTAAGACATATTCTCCTACTTAAATACTGGCTTCGGCATCTTTATATATCTCGGATCTATTCTGATACGATAATCTAGCTGGGCAGACAAATATCCAGGAAGATTAACAGCATAATGCATCTTCTATTTTACAGTATTTTTTTTTTTTTTGTCTTCTAATCCTGAATAAATCGAAATATCGCTATCGGCTGATCAGTTAGAGATACGACAACGGAAGTAAGATGAAAATATGCGCGTGCGCAGTACTTCGTGTTATCAATGTTCTGTAAATTTAGCAACGGAAGAAAAGGATACAGAGATAGACATTGATTGTTTGTCTGCTATTACTAATGTCGCCAGCCCGACATCAAATACCCAAAGAACGTCTGTGTGTTAATATGAACTCTGCTATCGATCAGTTCATTGGCATTTGCAGTTCAAAGGCATATAATATGCAGTTGTGTAGTAATTCAGGAACGGTAGACAGGAGGATGAAATGCCCAAAAACAAGAGCTTAAGATATGTGGAGATTCATTTAAAATATGATTTTTGAAAAAATAAAACACTAAAGTACAAATCACATTGGCATAGCTAAAGTTGCCTTTCAAAAGCTAAGCAAAGTATTAACAAAAAAATTTCGTTAGAAACAAAG